TTCGTTTGACGGAATTAGAGGGACTCAGACAGGACACATCACCGCTGTAGAAATGACCATGAGAGGTCGTATTTCCCGCTGGGGAGGGAGGTATTTTCATTTGAAAAATTTTGCGATTGTCGATTTTTCCTGTATATGCGCTTTATATAGTCCCCACCCTCTATCACCCACCCTCTGTCACCCAAGCTCGACAGCGAAATTTCGAAGGAGTTTTAATAAGAAGTAGGGTTTGTTGCACACCAGAGGACAACATTAGAGGGTCGTATATTGCAAACTTTGCAAATTTTCCCGACGTGCCTTGTGCCCTGGACTGAAGAACTGATTGTGAGGGAGCTACGCGACAGCGGCTGCGGCTCGGTGGAAGTGAATCAGCTGATTTCGATGGAATTCGGCTGCAAATTCCACTTTTTCAGCTCTTCAAGCTTCGTGGAAGGTGAGTTATTCTGAACAATTTTGAATTGTACTGGCTCTGATTTCCTTTATTTTTATGTCGATTATTATGCTCTTTTCCTTGTATTTTGCCTTATTTCAGGTTCAAATGGCTTACATTCTTTCAGATTCATTCAGAGTCAGTACAATTTAAAATTGTTCAAAATAACTCACCTTCCACTTTCGAAGCTTGAAGAGCTTGAAAAAGTGGGCCGAATTTGCCAGCCGAATTCTATCGAAAATCAGCCTGATTCACCGCATCACCCGAGCGCCAGTCGCCTGCTCCGCGTCATACTAGTGCAGCCCCGCGGCTGCTGCCGTCCTCCGACAGCTACCGTAACTGATGAGGACTGCCTGATTTCTTCCACTGAAACCGCACATGTGGCCACCATAAAGCCGGATAAAGCGGATCCGAAGCTGCTCATCCCAGTGATTGTGCCCCAGCCACAAACCGATTTTTCGCAGCGTTTTTGCGTCGCTCCCACAGCCAGGCAGCGCCTCATCTCCAGCCTCTAATACATTCACGTCAACCCACGCGCTTCAAGCTTAGATGCAGTCAGCGTTCCAACTTACGAGTGAGATCGATAAGCTCACTTTCGCTAGCCCCTAAATCTATAGCTTCCCCATAGTCGGCGTGAGTGCCGACGTTGCTGGCACACTCTCAAGGACTCTGGTAGACACTAGATCGATATCTATAGTTTCCTGGTCACAGACGCTGCGGGACGCTCGGAACGCTGGCAGGCGCGTGCTCCCTAGTGGACGCTGCCGCGAAGTATGAAAACAGCCTCAACGCCGCTTTTCGTCATTTTCCCCACTATATAGCACGCTGCTTTTGATTTCGAACAAGTACCAAATTATCGTGCTTCATGCCTTTAACTTCCCCATGCAAGACAGGCTCCCGTCCCTTACCCTTGTTCAGTAACGGGCCATCCCCACATTGCCTACCTATCATCTATGAAAAGTTGGAAGGTTTGGCTCTCATGTTCAAAAAGCAAACTGTAGGAGTTATGATCTCAAGTCACCCATTACATTCACAGTAAAAATTACTCTTCAAGAAACTTACGAGTTGACGCCATTTCAATGCCCATTTCATTCGATCAGTGTTGGAAACAAGATGGTCTAGCGTTGACTGGAAAAGATGGTGAATCGCAGTCATCTTTTAGGCTTCAAATTGAAAAAGTCCTGATCGAGTGGACAAAAGCGTGAGATGTGCACATACATTGATGTCGTTGTGAATGTGCTCGTCGTCGGCGTTCCATAGTTCAAAGTTCAGTATATGAGATCCATGTGCATTTGCTAGCAAGAACAGAAAGACTTTTGATGGTATTGAAGCACCAAGGCAAATCTCGTAATCACCTAAACTTCACAAAAGGGCCCTTTACGGTGTAGGTTCATTGCGAGAAATGCAATGCATGGGAGGAAAACAAGAAGTAGGTGGTAACTGCATGAGAACACATTCCACCATACCGAACGTAGAAGAAAAACCCATCAGAAGCGTCCTTCCTCCAACGAACTCCGATTTACTTTCAGCTTTGTAGGAATGGAGACGTGCGGTGAAAGGAGACGCAGAGACCTCAGCTAGGCTGACGAGATAAAGGTCCATTGCGGCTGATGAACCTAGCTGATGAGGGCACGGTGGGACTCATGTTAAAGAAGTCTTTTTTCGAAACGCTCTTGAGCGTCGAAGTGGTAACCAACTGCACACCTGTTCATCCTTTCTTGGGAGGGGGATAAAACCTATTGAGTAATCGAACAGCGGGTATATGTAAAAGAAGGTTTTTGCAGTTTAGCTTATGGTTTGTGCGTTGTAAGCACCAAAACTTTTACAGGGACACGCAACAGATTTACACTCGACCTGAGCAGCGCAGTTCGGCGACGGAGGGGGGAGGGGCATTTGGACTTTTGCTAATTTACTTCTCATCGACGTGTCGACCTTTCTATACAGCATCTGGACAGCCTCTTTTTGACAGGTTCAACATGATGGCTTGACGACCTTGCTCCAGCTTCACAAGAGTTCACAGGTTTCGCCAGAGTGAGACTTGTAAACCGGAACTAAGGAAGCAATGATAGTACAAAATGCCCCCCCCCCCGTCGCCGAACGGCGCCTCCCTGAGATAAGGTGGGCGTGGCTGCGTACCTCAACTAAACGTGACGGTGACTGCCTTTTTGGGTGACGTTTTCATTTTGAGGCAACTGTGGTAATGTCTTTGCCCAACACATAAGAAGATGACAGTCTTAGGTTAAAATATTCTGTGGGTAAGTCATCCTATGTCATGCCCGAATGTCACACCTACTCCCTCTCAGGGATGAGGGGTGTATCCAATCTTTTAGGACCTTTCTTGAGAGAGTGAGAGAGAGAGAGGCTAGAAACTGCGCGTCGGAACTTATAAAAATCATGAACCAGAACAACACTCTTCACAATGCCATTTTCCCCACCAATCATGGCTCCCTATCTCGGAACACTCCCATCAGCAGGTACCATAGCACGGCGATAACGCTCTCGTTCGGGTCGTAGGCCATGCAGGGAGGTCCTTGTGACCTCCTTGTGAGAGGTCGTACTGACTTCTCCAATTCACATATCTCGATGATGTACCCCTGCACCACACTTCTGTTCAGTACTCTTCAGCATTTGAAATGCTAAAATTCGATAGATTTAGATTAGATGATCATAACTGACCTTCTTCAGTGGCATTATGAAAAGTGGCGACTTTGGTTTCATTGCCTCCCTTTTCGATAGAAAATTCCCCAGATGGTGATCTCAAGCGAGTCTCGACCATGGCGTTTGCTGCCTGAAACACTACTTCATGCAAACATCGCCTAAGGCGCGCCCCCATTCACAGCTTGAGCGACCATTGAAGAAATGAATAGTCCGAAAGTCCGGAAAGTGCGGAATCTGCAGAAATGCCGAATGTGAAGAAAAGCAATAGATATGTATCGATTTGAAGAAATTGCGGAAAGTGCGGAAAGCGCGGAAAGTGCGGAATCTGCAGAAAGAAAGAATCGATACGTATCTATTGCTTTTCTTCACCTTTCTGCAATTCCGTCACTCTCCACTTCTTCCCACTTTCTCAGATCCGTACTTGTCCGCACCTTCCGCACTGTTTCATCTTCGCCTCCCCCCCCCCCCCCCCCCCCCCCCCCACCTTCGCAATTTCTTCAAATCGTACATATCTATTGCTTTTCTTCACATTCGGCATTTCTTCAGATTCCGCACTTTCCGCACTTTCGGCATTTCTTCACTTTCTTCAAATCGATACGTATCTATTGCTTTTCTTCACTTTCCGCACTTTCCGCACTTTCGGCACTTCTTCCTTTCTTCATGGTCGCTAGCGATGTAAACGCGCACTAGTGCGTAATTATGATTTAACATCCAAATCAAGGATTGCCCAGAACAAGGCAACGGGCTATGTGGCGCAGAGTTTCCCTTGCCGCTGAATAGCGTACATTAGCTGTTTCAGGACTGCGCTTCTACTTTGCCGGCAATCGTCCACAGTGGCCTACACGTTTCAGCGTTCGTAGCTCCGACTTCAGAATAAGGAAGCATATCATTAGCCGATCCAGCGTCCAGCGCTCTCACAGGTCCACCCAGTTCCTGAGAGCTTAAAGCACAATATGTGTGCCATCTAGCTTCTAGCCAGCATCTCTCAACCTACTATTAGCCCTTACTAGCCGTCTCGGAGTATGGACGCGACAAGAGGGCACCAACAGTTAGAGTATGGGAGTAGGAGGTGCAGCTGCTGGTAAGAACTGGGTGGCACGTACGAGGGTGTGCGACTGGTCTTGCTACCCTACCTTTCGTGCCCCTTACTTCTTTCACCTACCCGGAACTGAGAGACGCTGGGTACACTGGGAGACGCCGGAGACGCTAATACATATTTCGAGCCCTTCGAGACGGCTAGGCCGGACCGCTGGTAGTCGCTGGAGACCCTACAGCCACGCCTAGATCGGATATCGAAACTTTCCTAGTAGCTGACCGCTGCCGAGCCCGCTCTGATCGAGGTTGTATGCGCCGCCAAAACATGAGACCGCCCTACATCCCCCCCAATGACGGAAATTACGGAGCGGGCTACTTTGTGCAATGATAGGACTCAATCTATCCGGTATTATAGACATTACACAAAGCTTACCGATGCAAATATAAAAATTGTCGTATTCTTCTTCACGGGTTGGTAAACACACGACATTTTGGAGTTGACGAATACTGATAGTGACACAATAGAGGAGGAGTTCATAGTCTTGGTCCGAAATGCAGCTGCATTGATGAAAAGTGCCACCAAATAGAGGCAAAGCACCAAAATCATTTGCAGCTCTGAATAAATTTTTTGATTATACCAGCTCCTTAAAGTGACATCTCACCAGTTATTGGGATCAACTAAGTGCTGCAACACCAAAAGGGGGTGAAAGAGTCAGTTTCGCGAAAACCATATCTCGTGGGAGGAAGGGGGAGGGGCTGCCGATGGACTTGCTCTTGAATGTGACAGCTTTTAGCGTCAGTGTGAACTGTCAATTCACCACAAGACGTGGCTCATTGTCAGGTGGCCAGGACATCCGAACCGCTGCATCGCGCTCACATCCGCACTCCAAGCCAGTTTATTCGATACATCACTTTAGCGTCAATTCAAGTGCTCAATGAGAGCTCTCATTGAGGGCTAGCGGTTTCGCAAATGATATGGGAAGCCGAATGCCATGTCACAACTAGAGCATTCATTGCTGGATTTTGGTTGACTCTGTACGAGCCCTCCCCTGGGCGCTTACTTGGTACGACCCTCCTCTAGTTCCCTGCTCTGATATGATCGAGCTGTCGTGCGGGGGGGGGGTGTATATAGTATAGCACGTGCTAAACCAAAAAAAAACCCGCGAAAACAACCGTGAAAATTTTTCAAAGACGGCAAAGTCTCAGGCGGCGAATACAACCTCCCTCCTCTCCCAACAACGAGCAAATACGACCCATTCTTCCTTTCAGCGCCCGTGGAACAAGGAAAATCGACTATCGAAAAATTTTCTCAAACCAGCGACCTCTCTCCCCTCTGCGACGAGGTA